TTGTGGATGTGGAAGTGCAGAGTTGGTGGCAGGCGCAGGACTTTTTGTGGACCTTGAAGTGCAGATTTCGTGGCAGGTGTAGTACTTTGTGGCCTTTGGAGTGCAGATTTCGTGGCAGCAGATTTCGTGGCAGGCGCAAGACTTTGTGGACCTTGAAGTGCAGATTTCGTGGCAGGTGTAGTGCGTTGTGGACGCTGAACTGCAGATAGACAGATAGAAAGATAGAAAGATAAGTGGATCGATAGATACATAGATAGATAGATAGAGGATGCATATTTGCTTGCTTAAAAAGTTTTGCACCGGGGAGTTCGCCTTAAAATATTGATTTCGTGGGAGGCGCGGGTGTCGGGGATGAAGTGCAGATTTCGTGGCGCGGGGGGGGTTGGGGGAGGGCGCAGCGCCCCCCCCAGCAGCACACCAGATCCAAAGGTGAGCAGCTCTTGCTTGCTTGCTTGCTTGCTTGCTCGCTTGCTTGCTTGCTCGCTCGCTCGCTCGCTTGCTCGCTTGCTCGCTTGCTCGCTTGCTCGCTTGCTCGCTGGCTCGCTCGCTCGCTGGCTCGCTGGCTCGCTGGCTCGCTGGCTCGCTGGCTTGCTGGCTTGCTGGCTTGCTGGCTTGCCGGATTGCTTGCTTGCTTGCTTGCTTGTTTGGTTTCGTCTCTGCAAAGCAAACAAAAGGGAAAGCAAATGAAAAAGATAAAGGAGAACAGCTGCGAAAAAGAAAGAAAGAAAGAAAGAAAGAAAGAAAAAACAAAGAAAAAGCAGAGAAACAGCAAAGAGAAAGAGAACTAGCGCAGGAGGCATGTTTGCTTGGTTTCAAAGTTTTGCGCCGGGGAGTTCACCTAAAAAATATTGATTTCGTGGCAGGCGCGGGTGTCGGAGATGAAGTGCAAATTTAGTGGCGCGGGGGGGTTGGGGGGAGCGCAGCGACCCCCCCACCAGCAGCACACCAGATCCAAAGGTGAGCAGCTCGCGCTTGCTTGCTTGCTTGCTTCCTTGTTTGGTTTCGTCTCTGCAACGCAAACAACAGGAAAAGCAAATGCAAAAAGAGAAAGGAGAACAGCTGCCAAAAAGAAATAAAGAAAGTTAGATAGATAGATACATAGATAGATTTAGACAGATAGATGGATAGACCAAAAAGCCACAAAAGCCACAGAAGCCACGAAAGCCAAAAGCCACAAAAAACAAACAAAAATCCTATAAACAAAAACAACGTCCTAGATTAAATGGCCCTCCCTGCATGACCTCCAACAGCGGACGCACCTTTTGATACTTTTTGTCAATCAAAGGCGTGAGAGGGGTGACCAGCCAAAGGTGGCAGCGACCATCGCCGCACAGGCGTCAGGGCCTCTTTAAAACATACGAATGCAATTGGTCGGTTCAGACTTCGTAGATACTTCGTAGAGAAGGAAAACAAAGATGAAGAAAGGAAGGAATGAATCACGGTCTTCAAGAATGAAGAGAAAGGTTTCGAGATCCTAAGCTTTCTGCATTCAACAGGCCACATGTGGCTTCCCTCCACCACCTGGGCCCACTGGGCAGGTCGTCTTTACAACAAAA